GGGGGGGGGGGGGGGGGGGGGGGGGGGGGGGGGGGGGGGGGAGAGCAAAGGGAGGGGCCTGGGGAAGGAGGAGAGACCCCCAGTTCACCCTCAAACATTGATCACTTTCCCTAAGGAACTAGAGGAAGCCCATTCAGCCCCTAGGGGTACCACGAAATCCAGTCTCCCCCCCACCAGCCTGTCCTCCCCCAAAATTAGAGGGGGGGAAATACTGCCCCACAAAGCCGTTGTTCCCCAATAACAATGCTTTGCAAATACTTTTTAAAACAGGAGTCCACTTTGAGACTTGTGGACTTCAACTCCCAGAATTCCCCAGGCCAGCATAGGCCGCTTGGGGGAATTCTGGGAGTCGAAATCCACCCATCTTAAAAGTGGCCAAGGTTGGAGGGCTTGCGCTGAAATGTTACAATAGCCTTGGATTGACTTCTCGCTACAACCCCGGCCTAATATTTTTTGATGCAGAATGGAGAAAATGATCAAACCCTTTTTGGTGCTTCTTGCTTGGGAAGGAAAATTGGTTGTGGATGACAGAAGAGACTGGACGGCCATTGGTCAGAAATGGTGTAGGGTCTCCCACTTGGGCAGGGGGCTGGACTAGGAGACCTCCAGGGTCCCTTCTAGTTCTATTCTGATCTGTGGACTTCAATTCCCAGACTTCCCCAGCCAGCATTCGCTGGCTGGGGAAGTCTGGGAGTTGAAGTCCACGAGTCTAGAAGTGGCCAAAGTTTAGGGATTCAGCCAGGCTTGTGCAAAGCAAGACGACAGAGGATCTTGGCATTATTGGGGTGCAGGTGAGCCCCACCCTGCCCTTCTCAAGGCGACTCTCTTACCTGGGCAATGCTGGCGTAACACTCGCTCTCCATGTACTTCTCCTTCATCTTGCAGGCGCACTCCCGGGCGCGCTCCAGGCAGCGCATGGCCTGCGAATGCTCCTTCTCCCGCAGGTGGATGTTGCCCAGGTTGAAGTAGGCTCGGAAGAGGTCTTCCGACAGGTGGGCCTGCCTAGGAGGCGGAAGGGACGACAGTGGGCACCTTGGCAAGGCCCTGCCGGAGGGGTCAAGGGTGGCTGCCCGCAAGGAGCCCCTTCACACACACACCCCAGCTTATCTCCAGAGTCCAAGGATTGTGTTAGGGTTTGAGGAATTAACCCCTAGCAGAGTATTGCAGCAGTAGTCAAGCCAGGCAACCAAAGGAGAGCGGAAGGGCCCCAGAGTATACACACACTGAACACAAACACTGTTTGTAGTTTAAATAGTTTTTAATCCAGTTAGAGTTTAACCATTGTCATTCAGTCCATTAAGTCATTCACAGTATTTCCATCCAGTAAGACTCACTAGTATAGTCCAAGTTTAAGAGTCCTTGCAATATCTTTATCAGCCGATAAAGATATCTTCTCCTCCTCCGGTTTCACTCTCCAGAGAAACAAACGCTGGATATTCAGCAAACAGTAGCAAACAATAACAGTTCAGTCTCAGGCACTCACAGTCAGTAATCACAGTTAGTCACAGCAGGACACAGTTAGTCGCAGCAGCACACAGTTACAGACAGTCAGTTACAGTTAAAGACAGACAGTAAGAGTCAGAAAGCTTTCCAGCTTCTAATGCTTCCTTATATTGTAACTTCTAACCGCACCCTTAATCGGCTAATTGCCTGCTGCATTGTGCTTAAAGTGATAAGCACTTAAACCATGATA